CATGCGTCGCGTCGCCCCAGATCCGTAACAGGCTAGCGGTCGGGCGTTGTGCGAAGTAGCGACGGCGGCGTGGAGTCCGGTCGTGTCCTTCGCTCGGAGGTCGTTCGCTTTCCCCTCGCCGGCCACCATTTCCATCATGCTCTGCCGGTTGGTGTCCCGGGGCAGCCCCAGCAGGTGAGAGCCCGGCGGCGCCTGGAGCCCTTGAGGTCCTGGCCAAGGGCACAGCGTGGGGCCTGGCTGGGCAGCGGGAGAGGCGGGAGATTGGAAAGTGTACGAGGAAAAGGGAAGCCCCTCCAGGAGGGGCGGCGGAGGTGGTGGTGGGGGGAGAGGCGAGCGAGGTGGCCCCCGTGGGAGAAAGAGCCCGGGAGACGGAAGCGCCAAGCCGCCAGTATCGGGTCGATCAGAAGATTGTGCCTCCTAATGAAGAGCAATAATGAAAAAGAATAGAGAGAGACAAGGAAAGACAGGCGGGGAAAGGCGGAAGGCAGTAGGAAAAGAGGAAGGCTGAATATGAGATGGACTGACTCCGTAAAAGCACCCACAGGCTTGGGGGCTGCAAGAGCCGATATTTTGGAGATCGCTCAATTCATAGGGTCGCCATAAGTCGGAGGCGACAGGAAGGCATATAGGACAGCAACTAAGGGACAGAAAAGTCGCTTCTGAGCTGAACATGAAAGCTCTGGGTTGTTGTAGGAAAAGTTCAAAATTCCTTGCTCACTGACCTTGGTCTGCTTTCGCTTAATAACCTACCCGACAAGATTGTTGTGAAGGTGAAACATAAAAGGGAGCTGTGTATGTTGCACCTAAGCAATTTCAAAGAAAGTAGAATATAATTCTAACATGTAACTAGCCTGCCTCCTGTAATTATCACTCCCAGTTTTGTTTGGGAATAGGAAAAAATTTGCCAGATCAGAATGTAACTTCTAGGCAAATTTGAACGTTGATGCCTCTCTTTTAGGGAACCAAGTGCTCAAATGCACTGTTTAGGCATCTGGTTTGTAAGACTTGAGCAGAATGGTTAAGGATAGGGATCTCTGAGAGATCCTGATTATACAGGTGGCAATAACACCTGAAGGAATGCAAATTACTGTATCCCTGGTTAGGAGGTTGAAGTTGTTAGGGTTTTAAAACTCGTTTGAGGGTGAATTTACAGGCTTCTAAAATAAATTTCTCAAAGTATTAAGATACTTTAATTCTGCAGATATTGGCAGGAATCCAGTTACTTACATACCCTGTTTTCCTGAAAATACCTAACCTGAAAATAAGCCCTAGTATAATTTTTCAGGATGCTTGTAATGTAAGCCCTACCCCCAAAATAAGCCCCAGTTAAGTGAAACCCCACCCTCCACCATGGTGCAGCAGCCAGAAAAAGATGACATGACTGTATTTGAATAAATGTAGATTATTGTACATGGAAAAAAAGACATCCCCTATAAAAACCCTATTTTTTGGAGCAAAAATTAATATAAGACCCTGTCGTATTTTCAGGGAAACACAGTATATTGCAGCATTGCAAACTACAGTGGCAAATTGCCACTAGTTAAGAATGTGTTAGTTGTTTTCCTCTACATACTAGTTGCATCACAAAGAATATAAGTGGTGACTTCTTAAATTAGTGGTGATTTACTGGGGTTTACACCATTGGACTTATGCTGGCATGTGCAAGCAAAAGGATTCTGGCTATGGTTTACACAAATGTGGCCCATGCAATGAATGTATGGTGTACCTACCTCTGTTAGAGGTACTGAAACCTTAACAGATTTATTCAAAAAGACTGTTTTGCTAAGTGAACTTTTAATGTGTGTGAGGCTCCCAAGATGGAGGCAATGATAGGAGTGCCGTCGCTCCCGAAGAGTACCCATCACACCCAGACATCTCCCCCACCATCCCCACCGCGACGGGAAGAGAAAGGTGTGGAGACCCCTGATTGGGGGAAAGAGAGCGTCGGATCCCTTACCCTGAACAAAGGGGTAGACACCCACGATTTGGAGGAGGTCATGAAGGAGTTAAACATCACCCGGGAACCGGGGCGAGTTCTGGCGGGAAACCGAGGAGTGGAGATTGAGGCTGGGGTAGGAGATATAAGGGGGAAGCCGAGGGATATACCAGGAGGTTGGGAGTGGGTATGGATGGAGGATCCCTGGACCCATAAATGGGAACAGGTCCGGGTTCCTCATGAGGAGGCCGAGAAGCGTCGGCAGTTGGGACTAAAACCCCGACCTTCTTATTGGGGGGAAACGGAGGCTGGGGAGTGGAGGAGAAAGCTTCGCGAGGAGAGGGAAGCCGTTGCC